CTCATGACGGTGCCTATAGAGCATCTTCCCAAACCTTCTACCTCTAAAGGCAAAGGGGTGATGTGGGTCAAAGAACCGTGGATGAAGTCAATTATAACGTACTTAATGACCAAGCCCTGCCCTCTGACAAAGAGGAAGCATGGAAGCTCAGTAGATGAGTCGGTCACTTCGTTTTCCAAGATGACATGCTATACAAGCGAGATTTCTCCTTGCCTTTACTCCAATGTATTGGTGGTGAGCAAACCACGTATGTTTTTCAAGAGATTTATGAGGGCGTATGTGTCAACCACAAGAAAGGATGGTCCCTAGCACAAAACATGTTAAAACAGGGATATTATTGGCCAACATTGAAAAATGATGTATAGCAGTTTGCAAAAAGGTGCGACAAGTGTCAATGTTTTGCAACAATTCAAAGGCAACCTTCTCAAGAGCTAAGTGTCATTTCTAGTCCTTGGCCATTTGCCAAGTGGTGATTGATCTTCTAAGACTCGTATCTAAAGAAAGGATAGTGCCAGCTTTGTAATTGCGCTATTGATTACTTCACAAAATGGGCCGAAGCTGAACCTCTGACCAAAATTATTCAAGTAAATACTTCCAAGTTTTTATGGAAAAATATTATATGCCGGTTTGGAATTTTCCATTCAATTGTCTCGGATAATGAGCGATAGTTCGATAATAAGAAAGTCAAAAACTTATGTGAAGAGTTAGGAATCATAAAGCCCTCACATCATCATCAGGCTAACGAACAAGTAGAAGTTGTAAATAAGACTATCAAATACACATTCAAAAGGAAGTTAGATGTTTCGAAGGGGGCTTAGGTTGATGAACTACCTCAAGTCCTAGCTATTTCAACTACTAGCAAGACTGCTACAGGAAAAACTCCTTCCTTTATGACTTACATAGCTGATGCTATGAGCTCAGTCGAGGGGGGTTTGTCATTTTCTCTTCGCATACATTTTAACTAAATATCCAATGATGAGTTAAGGAAATATGAACTTGATTTACTTGAAGAAATGAGGAATGATTTTGAAGTAAAATGGGCTATCTACCAACGAAAGATGACTAGTTACTACAATTTAAAAGTTAAGAAGAAGTCAATGAAAAAGTTGGATCAGGGACTTATAAAATCGAAAGCATGAATGAAAGGACAAAACCTCATCCGTGGAACTCAGAGCATCCATGAAAGTACTACCAGTGAATGTAAATGAATTCCATGTATGATTTGTTTCAATTAAATAAAAGTTTGCTTTGTTGAAAATCTTTGTTGTAAAGAAAAAATACATCCCATTAACTAAAGTTAAGGGAGAAGCCTCTGTATAGACGAATCGTCCCTGCGCAGGGAAGTATGAGTACTTCGATGACGAGGCTAGACCCCATAATGAACCACCTCCTAAATCGCAAAGTGGATAGCACATCCCCTTAGCAACAAAAGTTGTTAAGGAGGCCTCAGTATGGATGAACCAATTGATCCCATGCTCAGAAAAATTAATAAAAGACACGAACTGCCAACATTTGTACAAATAGCGAATACAAACAAGTATCAAATATCAAAATAAAATGCTACAAGGCAACGAAATAAAAGTTCACTGAAGATAGTAAATAACAAAAATCTTTTTCATTCATTTAGAAGGAAATTACAAATGAGGGCTTCAAGGCCATTTACAAAAAGAAAAGAAATTTTTTTACAAAAGTCCTATCTGCTAAGTAGGAGGGGGAAGGGAGGAATGAAGGGCACTATAGCATTGAAAGCCATAGCTTTTGAAGCCTCTTCATCTTCTACAACATCGTCTTCAATTTCGATCATGTGGTTGCCTTCTGCAAGAGTTTGAGGCTCCTCATCTCCCTTGCCCAAGAATTCAAACCTCAACTTCGAGATGTTGAACGTTTGGTATTTCATCCCAATCCACTTCACCACCTCGGTATAGAATATACCTCCGTCAGATGGAAGTTGGCAATGTAACGCATTTTAGCTTCACTACCAGTAGATTGAGCTTCCGTCCTCATTGTCTCCACCTCTTCTATCAATTCGGAAACCATTAAGCTCAACTCTCCCATCTCATAATTCAAAGCAATACTCTTTATTGGCCTTCTCCCGTGCATTACGAGCCAGTATATGGTGGGCATCAGAAGTCTCCATTCGCTTTGTCATAGAGGCCACCTCACTTTGAGATGAGCAGACCTCACTTTTCAAATTTTTGATTTTCGCTAAGGCAAAAGTAAGCTTCACGGACTCTTTAATTAGTTGTTTTTTCAAGGCTTCTATCTCAGCTGTTGCCTTCTTGGCTACCTCATCAACCCTAGAGTCCTTATCAGCATTATCTTTATTTTTGCTTTGAGTGTTTTTAAAGAGGGCTTCAACCTCTATGGCCACACCAAAGGCTGTATTTTTTAGGGTAATCCCCATCTCATAGGCCACTGACTAATGTCTAAATCACCCCAGAATGTAAGGAAGCCATTAGACCAACAATTGCAAACTTTTTGGATACTTGATAGATTAGAAAAAAAGACATCGAACGAAAGTAACTGAAAATTGTGAGAACGGGTTGAAGAAGACGAGATGAACAAAGAGATTTTGAATTCAGTGATTATCAAATGCAAATGTGATTTTTGCCCTAGGTTCTTGCCTTTCATAGGTAGAGGCATTTAGTCTAACCATTGGTTGTCAATTCAGATCATCCAACCGTTCACTTGAAATTTAATCTGAACCGCACACCACCTCTGCCATTTTCCCTTTTGTGGCCTAGATTAGAGCATCTGAATCACACGCTCTAATATGTCTGAACCAATAAAGACATGCTCACGATAGCCATCATCACTCATTGTGATGATGATTACATATATGGGGACTAAATTGCTTCAACTGTCCTTTTTTTTTTTTTTTTTTTTTGGAAAAAGAAAAAAACTTAAAATCATTGTTGCACAACCATTAAGGACGTCTCATATTCCTAAACAAGTCAAATAGCATGCCTCTTTAGAATTGTTGTCTACAACTTCGCTCAAATTGACGAAGCAAACCATTTCAGCTTTGACTTAGACAACTTCGGCAAGAATTCAACAATATACTAACATGCAAACAACATCGGTCAAGTTAACCCCACCTCCGATTCAACTTCAACAGATAGAAAATCTCAAACTTAATTCCAAAAATATCCCTGATAAGTACTCCGAACATTTCTTTACAATTATGTTTTCAAATTCTAATTCTCATATAAATATTCACAATTAGACTTGACGGACTACTTGGATGGTTAAAAATAACTGTCCCAACAAAATTTTCAAATAACATAAGCCCATGCATTATATGAATGATCATATATAGACCTGGGGGATTATTGTTACGTCTCATGTCCAAAGCTCTTAATAGAGGCCTCCACGTCCAACTCACGTAAAGGCACTGCATGCAAACATCTGACAGTCAACAAGAGCAAAAAAATAAAGAAAGGAAACAATCTACTCTTTGACTGAAGCACTATTTTCATCCATAGTTTTTTGCTGAAGCACTCTCTCTTTGTCGATACATTCTCTCTTCTGGCCAAACCTTTGCATATCCGAAGCTCCCCCTTAAAACCGAGGCTCTCGTTGCCTTTAAAGAGGATATGAAGAGTATCTATAGGAATGATTGATATAACTTTTGTATTAATAAGTGTTAAAAATATCAGCCTAGAGTGTAGAGTGAGTGACCTTTTGTTAATGTAATCAATGGATGACAGAAAGTGATGGGAGGCTCCAATTGATGGGATGAGATCATAGGGTTCTGATCCAATGGTGACCACATCGACAACTCTTGGAACATGTTAAAGGATAGAAAAAATATATAAGAACTTCATATACTTGAAATTATAACTCTCTTTTGCTTGTCTCTTGATATCTAAGTTTGGATTCATTTTATTTTGAGAGTTGTTTATGATTGATCTTTGATTTTACAATTATCATTTATCATATTGTCAGTGCTCGAACGTTTTCGTCTCGTGTCATCTCCCACGTCCATTATCACAGTGATTTTATGACCCTATTTTCGGTAAAAACGTGTCTAAATTTGCTTGCCTATACATGAATGGACCAGACATTTGCTGTCCAAATAGCCATTACGAAAAATAGGGTCAACACCAGCCAACAATTTTTTGCTTCACCCACATTTTACCGATGGCTTTGTATTCATTGTATATTATTGTGCAACTAGCTACGCAAATTCCATATTTGCACTAGAAGAAAAAGGAAAAAAATAAACAGGAAGACAAGAAATCATTGCAACGCAATTTTAATCAATCTCCAACACTGATTAATCTATCTACTAAAATTCATTAACAACAAATAAGATACTTTTTATTTGATTTTTTACCAAGCAAGAAATAGTATTTCGAATGTCACTTTCTTCTATAATTAACTTTCAAGTTTATATTTGTGTTTTATGTACCATCATTTTTTATAGATTTTGTTATTTATATTTATGCTTAATTTAAACAATAATCTATTGGTTGAACTCATTGAAGCTATGATGACTTGATGAGTAAACCAATGTCATGGTCGAACCAAGTCTGATAACTGTGTTTTAAAGATAAGGATAGACATAAAAAGGAAGAAAAATACGACAGAAATAAAGCCATCTGGTGCATATGACATCATTTGGCTGCTTATTTTCTTCTGTTCTTGGCATGACACATGAGAATACATGCAAAAGCATCCAACTCAAATAATTGATGCGTGTGCATTTCTAATATTCTTAAGACAGCAAACGATATTCTATCCATCCTTTCAAATCTTACCAACAATTGTATGAATTAATCTTCACTTTTCCCATAGTTTAATGATTTCATTCCTTCAAATCTTTTCGAACGGCATGTTTAAATACCAAATCAACCAAAACCCATGAAAGCACCTTCACACACATTCTCTCT